CTACTGTCTCAACGTTCGAAGAGGAAACACTTCCTCTAGTTGTAATTGAATTCTTGAAGTCTCTGAATAATTTTTATTAAAACTACAAAGCTTTAACAGTGAAATAAACCGAGTGTCGATAACGTTATTTTGAACCTTCCCGCTTCCAGCGAGCAGAGTGCTTTAGCGCTCCACGGGCAACTTACCCGCCACCTTTCTAAAAAATACCTAAACCCGAAATCCTCATACAACAACTACTCTCAGAGGTCGCCCAGGTTTCTGGGAGGCACCATTAGCGACACAGCTCCCCCTGTGCGACGCATCCTTAGGCACGGTATGGCCGAGGCCATGGCTTACGCCGTTCACACACATGGATTGGGTGGGTTCCTCTTAGCGACTGCGGGCGGCGGTCGTCCTTAAGACTCCCACCGCCCGCGACCGAGCCCCCTCACTAACGACAAAGTGGGAACCCAGTGGAGGGGGATATTAGCCAAAATAAGGCCAAAAAATTCAGGCGTCGGTGAAAGATCAGGGGACGCTACCCATAGCAACCCCCTAGCAAGCTCCCTAGCAACCTCCCCTAGAAATCCTCCCTAGCAACCCCCCCCCCTCATATGACCCTCATAAACCCCCATAAGACTCCCTTAAGACCGTCATATGACCCCCATAAGACCCCCATAAATCCTCGTAAGTCCCCCATAAAACACCCATAAGACCGCCATAAACCCCCATAAGACACTCATATGACCCCCATGAACCCCCATAAGACCCCCATAAGGACCTATCTTGCGCCAACATTACGCCAACATTGGGCCAGCCTTGGGCCAAATTTTTGAGAATAATTCAAAAACTAAAAGCGCAATCGACACCATCTTCGAACTCGGTCTGTATAACATAAAAACGAATATTTCTAGCCCAGAATCGATTGATTCAGATAATTATTTTGGAAGTTATCGTGAAAAAACTGACTCGGTCACATACATACACACGCACATACATACGGACAGGGTCTAAAAACATCAGATTCGGACTCCCAAATTAGTCATCTTCACTAAGAAAATTGGAAACTTAAATTCGGAGGAATACAATGCTTCCATTCGGAAGCGAAAAGGAAAAATTTTCGATTTTTGTCATTTTTTCAATGTCTAAAAATTCTTTGCTTTTTTTCAAATTTTTTGATATCTTGGTATTTTTTCATATTTTCAATACTTAGTGAGCTATGAATTATTTTAGATTTAGGGAAATGTTGTCGTCGGGCGCGCCCCACTCCACGCGCTTGATCTCCCCACTCTCCACATTCCCCGCGTAGCGGAACTTCTGCAAACGTTTTCTTTGCTAATTTCCTCCAAAAATATGAAAAAATTACCAAAAAAATTTTTGTTAAGAATCAATAGTGCACAAACTCGTCAAATTTGACGTTAACAAATGCCAAGAAAAATATTTAAAAATTCAAGATTGATCCCAATGATTCAAATTTGGGATAAAGCTACCGAGCTTGATCGAAAATTTTTCCAGTCAGATTATATATTGAAAAAACAGCAATTTTTTAATTTTATCAATAAATAATAAGTTAAATATGAAAGTTGAGTGAATAGGTCAAAAAAGTGAAAATGGAGAGGAGAGAACGAGAAAAAAATCACCTTTTTTCTTATTCCAATAAGATAACTGGATCAAAAGTTATGTTATGGCAAATTTTTGTTGAAAAATGAAAAAAAAAGAGAAAAATGGGGACTCCTGAAAAATCGAACAATGTTTTTTAAAAAAATTCCTCTCCTGGAGACATTCTGTGAAGGGTCAACATGCATCCTGATTTTTTCAGATTTTTTAATCAACTTTTTCATAAATTATTTGCCTTTAGCAACTAAAATGGACTTTTCAGCGTTGGCGGCGAATCAGTTTTTTCATAGTTCAATTTTGAGCGCGCTTGACGACTTGAGGGTTGAAATTACGAAAATGGCGCCACTGACTTTTTTGTAGGAAATTTTATGCTCTACAAATTAAGTCCTAGGCATTTTTATCCCATCTATCACGGTTTCGTCGGCGTAAAGCAAAAAAAGTCGCGTGGACGCCTAATTTTGCAGTTTTGAATTTTTTTAAACAATTTCCCGGTTTGATACAATTCCAAAAACTTAGTATGTGTTTCACATCATTCTTCCGAATGATATCCCATGGTTTTTATCCTTCTTCTATCATCCTTGATTTCCAAACCGTAATTTGACGGGCCTATTAGGAAAAGGTAAATAGTATACTTCAGGACGAGTGCCATGGGGTTTTTTACTTGCGTGGTGTTGGCGTCCGAGCCGACAGGCGAGGACTAGCCAACTACGCGAGTAAAAAAACCCCATGGCACTAGTCGCGAACGATATTTTTCCGTAGTGATTTTCACTTTTACGAGTTTGAGGAAGGGCCAATACCAATCCCCAATTGAGGAAATGTGAAGGTCAGTACGGAAAAAATATTAACGTTGGGGCAATGTTGGCTGCCAACGTTAAGGGGAGACTACTATGAGTTTTAAAAGTCACGGGCTATTGGAATGAGATTCCCCATACATTGAAGATCGATTATATATGTCTAAAAACGGATAATTAGTGAAAAAAATCAATTGTTTAGCGTTCGTTCGCTCCGCAGACGCTTAAAATGTTAAAAATAGTCCAGGGTCTCCAATTTTTTATCGACAGAGGTTTTTTTCACATTTTTTGAAAAAATGTATACAATAAGAATTACGAATTAGTTTTTTGAAATCCAAATCCTATACAGCTAATTTTATTTCTTTTTTAATAAAAAATTGCACCATTCATGTAAAATAGCCCGAAAAATATTTCTAAAAGAATCGAGAATATATTTTAAATATCTTAAAGATAATTTTTCTACGTATTTTACATGAATGGCGCAAATTTTTATATTAAACAAAACAAAATTAGCTGTATAGGAGTCGAATTTCGAAAAAACTAATTCGTAATTGTTATTGTAAACATTTTTGCAAAATTTTTGAAAAAAAACCTCTGTAGCTCAAAATCTGGAGGCCCTGGACTATTTGTAAAATTTTTAGCGTCTGCGGGGCAAACGAACAATAAACAAATAATTTTTTTTCCACTAATTATTCGTTTTTAGACATATATAATCAATCTTCAATGCATGAGAAATCCCACTCCAATAGTCTGTGACTTTTAAAACTCATAGTAGTCTCCCCTTAAGCTAATGTTGAACAACGTTGGGGCAATGTTGAATTCAATAAACCATTAAATTATTTTAAAAATACATCGTTATGGAAATTCCATTCAAAAGAAAATTGTTAATTTATAATCAAAAATATATTGACTATCTTGCGACGAAAGCAATTCCCCACGTATTTTAATTCTCACTAATAAACGAAATAAATTCTTTTCAGGATAGAGAATTGATTACTTATTAATTTTTCATGTGCAAGCATCATGGTTACCCCTGATACCAACAGGGAACAGAATTAAAATCTTCAATTGGTGAAATCGATGAAAACAATATCAAATCACCTCTCCCAATGACTTGTCTCCCAAAAACTTCCTTGCCATTATCCATGACACTGGCAATGTCCTTGAGATCCACCAATTCCGAGAACTTTGAGTTTCTCCACCAGTAGACACAGGGAATTTTTCCTTTTTCCCCCAATGACTTGTGTGCCACCACACACGACACATACTTCGGTCTGTTCTTCGTTAAATTTGGGCAAATATCGACTGGACCCTCTGCAATCTGAATCAAATCACCGATTTATCAAGTTAATGCATAATCCTGAGATAGGGAAATAAAACTCCTGAGCGGATACTACCACAATACCATCGGACTCCCGATATCAAAGGGGAATTCTACCGGGTCTCTGATACCTGCAAGAGTGACTTATATAGGTGACTGGATGGGTCATGCTCGGCAGAAGCTGAATGGTGTCGCACAGCCTCTTTGGCAATAAATTTCAGCCACGTTCTCGAGCAACTAACGTTGACATTGCCAACGAGTTTCATGAGATTCTCTAGGGTGAGTTCAGAAAGTGACGAGTATGGGAGTTCCTCGAATCTGTCCAGGCATGCCCCGAGGGCAACATCCCTCAGCTTGTCCAGACCCAACTCCTGTGCTAGTGTCCAGATCTCGATTATCTTCTCAGCATACAGCCAGTGGAGAATAATAATCGATGTCAAATCATTCGTCAGCTTTTCACACATAAAGACAACACTCAGCTCTAGTAATTCGAGGGGATTTGAGTTGTGAGGGTTCGTGAATTTTTCCATGCACCTCTCCACTTTGTAATGCGTCTGAATCTTCAGTTCGTTGTGCTTCGGGTCTTCCGCCCATTTGACGAAATCCTGGGAATTAATTAATTATTTAGTATTTATTATTCATTGATGCTTAAGGACACTGAGTGTAAAAAAATGCTGTTTCGATTTTCTTATCACAAGATCGAACACCTGACAAGTTGATAGATTTTATATGATTCATCACGTTATTATTTAAGTTGATTGGAATCAATATGTTCTTTGTTACGTATACAAATTTCTATAGTATTACTAAGGAGAAATTCGTGGGAAGCGATGAAAACTTGCATTGAAAGCGAAGGATTTTCGATAGAAATCTATCAAAACTTCTCTTGAAAGACCTTGAAAAATTCGTCGAAATTAATGAAAACTTCAATTGAGAATCAATACATACTCCGTTGGAAATCACCAGCATCAACATTATCACCAAAATCTGTATCATCATCATCATGTACGCGATATCTCTTTCAGACATTTAGGAATAAACGTGTGACATCTCTTTTTGCTGTCGAATGGAAGCATTGTAATCGACTAAATTTAAGTTTTCGATTTTTTATGTTATATCAACCCATTATGATCCAAAAAGTTCGAAAATGCAATTTTTAGACCGCGTCCGTACGTGTAACAAACGTTTTCTTCAATTATTCGCCAGTTCAACAATGGAATTCAATCTTTTTTTTCTCTCAAATGTAGGTCTTACTGAGCCCCATCTACTGCCATTAATTGAAATTCAATTCATTAACGCATTTTTAAAATTTTCCAATCTTTTCAAAAATCGTTTTTTTGACGATAACTAAAAAAAAATGTTTCAAATTCATGAAATAACGGCTTAAGAAATTTGATGAGATGCCCTTTCGACCGAGTTCGAAGATGAAGACGATAGCAGTAATCGTTACTGTGATTTTTGTGAAAATTTGCAATTTTTTTTTTTTTTGAAAATCAGAATTCCGCAGATATTGTATCACTAAATTGTATCATGGCTTGAAATGTTTGTATTGATGCCCTTAAGTGGGAGTTGAACGATGGTTACGATAACTGCCTCCGTTGATTTAATTTTATGATAATTTTCAAAAATTTCAAATTTTTCATCAGTTTCCCCGAAAATTAGCTTTTTCATGGTTTCTTCAAATGTGATGTTTCAAACTCAATCAATTATGAATAAATACATTTTTTTCAATGATATTCTGTTGAAATTTTATTATGATATAAATAGTATCATTCTTTCATTTGATTTATACAAGAATTTCAGGAATCGCTTATGGTATTCGAAAGTTTGTTGCCTTTCCATGATTGTGGAAAATACACTTTCGTTGATTATTTGAATGAAAGAAAAAGGTTCAAATTCATTTAAGGTTAATCTATTTATTTAATAATTTTAAGGATTCATGCAAGCCTGTTATGAGCAACTAAAATATCATTTAAAACAAACTGATATTTTGGTTATCTGAGGCTCATAACCCATGTCCTCCCCAGAAAACCCAGACAGAAATTACAAAAGAGAACAGTTGTAGACTTTAAATAATGACGTGGCTAGTATTAATATTCCATTGTCATCTTTCTCATCAATTTTGAAGTAATTGTTGGATCAAATTAATCCAGGAGGGTTATTGTGCCATGTAAAAATGTCAGATTTTTCGCGGAGGAAAGTCGACTTTCACCAAAATCGAATTTTTTCGCTAAGTGAATGTTGGTTCCGTATTTATTGGCCCGTCTAATGTAAATAAAACTCTTGGAGGCGCCAAAAATGTCAAAATACATTTTTTTTTTTCACCCGGAACCAAAGTGTCAGACCTTGGATATTTCCCGGGCGAAAGTCGACTTTCGCCAAAATCGAATTTTTTGGCGAATTCATTCAAGTATGCGTAAATAAAATTTTTCTATTAACATTTTATCGAAGTGCTGAGGGGAGAGATAGAACTGTAAAAACGACAATCAATTGTAAGAAGAAAGGGATAATAAGAATAATGATGATGATAACATTCAAATAAGTTGAAAATCTGACAAAATTAGTTGAAAAGAAATCTTATTCAATTTAATAAAATGAAATATACAATGAATTATATATGATAGAAGGAAATGGTGTGCAAAATAACCAATCGGAAGCATATCGCTAATTTATTAGCAAAAATAACTATACTATATGCAATACAAGACCAATTTCCCATTTGTTTATATAAGAAAATGTTTAAGAAATCAATATTAAGAAATTTTCTAAATTAGCATTAAAATCAATGGACAAAGAGAACAGATGGACCTTTTTTTTTATAGCATGTTGTGAGGTAAAGTGAACTAAAATGAAATCGTGGATAGCGAAATTTAGTAGAAAAACCTAGTGCTTGCTCCGAGTAAATTCTATCTATTGAAAAAAAATGAAGACTGAACAATTAGACAATTTTTGACTTTATACTATTGATGGTCTTTTAATAGTTTGTCCTCAGAGAATGATGTATATTCTAGGACGTGAATAAAATACTTCAAATAATCCATCAATCTAGGCACTCGACGAGAAAATGACCGAAGATTTTTGTGTCCTGAAAATTTCAAGAATTAAAAAAACCTGCAACTTGTTCGAAATCTTGGGATGACTAAAAATTTTGAAAATAATTCAGATCTGATGTCATGGTATAAGGGATATTGGAGATTCATTTGAATAGATTATCACATGCACAGTTTTTTTATAATCTATTGTAGAAGAGGGTGAGGACGTTACAGAGGCACAAGGCCACATCATTATTAGATAGAAAGGAATAAGGAATTATGAATTGACAAAAGGATGATGAGCTATTAATGTTGCATATTAAATCGTGGATGGCGGACTAAACAATCAGACAATTTGCGGCTTTACTATGGATGAACCTTGTATCTATCTTTTAATAGTTTGTCCTCAGGGAATAATGTATACTCTAAGGCATGAATAAAATCCTTCAATCAACCAATCACTCTAGGCACTCAACGAGAAAATGACAGAAGTCATGAATTTAAAAAACCTTCAATTCGTCAAAAATGTTGAGGTGACTTTAAAAATTTCAAGAATAATTCCCATATATCACTGTATAATTATTAGATGAAAAGGAATAAGGAATTTTGAGCTGACAGACGGATGATCCGATCATCCGACCAATCTAAATATTCTCACACCTAAAACCAAATAATTTTGCCCATGTATATTACACTCGGTTACACAGACACGAAGTAACGATCGGATTTTTATTTTATAAATACAGAACAGACCTTGAGGGTATCCAGTGATACACCGTAATTGATTGGGTACTCATTCTGCCGGTGATCATTGAAGTTCTCCGAAAATAATGACGAGAAGTAGAGACTGTGCTTGGCGAGTTTATCCTTATTCGCTCGTATACGATTGTCACCGAGGACAAGTATCACTTGATTGTTATCAACACTGTCCATTGTTTATCGGAATGATGATGTTTTGAGACCAACAAAAAGCGTGACTGTGTTGACAGTTGACCTGTTGCAGAGAGCAGCTGACCTTGATGCACTTGTGGCTTGTTGGATGTTGGTAAAGAAATTTCACCGGACACTTGCTTGTCATATCACTAACCAGGGTTGGGCACAAAGAAGATTGGAAACGCTAAATATCAAAACGCCACCTATGAATGGCGGATATTGGGACCGCTAATTACCGATGGCGGCGCTCGTTTTCACCAATATGGACGATTTTAGGCTTCCCATATACACAGAGATTATAGGGGAGATGAACAGGGCCAATGTAAAATGTTCAACAACAAAAATCGTAGCGGTGGCGCATGGACTACGATGGAGCGTACGGAACTGTTGGTATGATAGGGCCCGAGCATAAATTTGTCGATAACCGGAAAAGGGTTCTCAATACGGTAGCTCCTCGCATTTTGTAATAATTGTCAGGAATGTAAAATCGAACATATTATAATCAACAGTATAATGAATGCACAATCTAATGATCTAAAAGTCTTTTCCTTTTTCTCGACATATTTATCATTGACACGTAGGTCAAAAAATTCATAGAAAATCCCAGCGCTGTCGCTGGAAAACTCTATAGTTTTCCAGTGATTCTATTGAATAATTGTGCAGATTTTGTTTTTTTTTTTACTATAGTAATGTTCGATTATATATATTTATTCCCTCCCTGAGTGAAAAAGGAATATGTATCGCGCTCGCTCCCACTCATTGTCGTCTCCGTCGCGCTGTCACGTGCCCGTCCTCCACCAAAATTAACGAGTGCGAGTGAGAAAGAAAATGGAGAAGAAGGAGAGAGAAAACATTCCAACTCGTTTGAAACGGTTGGAACGTTTTCGTTGTTCTCCAGCGATCTACACATAATGGGATTAATTCAATAATAGATTAATGAATAAGATTTTTCGCAGATTATTGCGAGATTTAGATGAATGGTTTGCCTCCTTCAGTGACCATCAAAAATTGTCTCCAATCGACAATATCTTCCGATGAAATGAAACGATGTGAATGAATCAAGTATCAATTTGAATCTTTAAAAAATTAATCCAGAGTGAAAAAAAATCCCGGCATTCCACTCTGAGATTTCTCTCAGAGAAATTGTCTGTGTTTACCGAGAAAAAAAAAACGTTGTTCCTAGGAATCGATGTGTCTTTTTTAGGCAGCTGCATTTCTGAAATGCAATGAGCAAGCAATGTTAAAATTAAGTCATTTTATAAAAAATTTCCAGTGACATGATCCTGAAAATCAAAGGAAAGTCTTGAATTCAGGAATGATGTCTGTAGGTTTCAGTAATATTTTCGCGGAAATTCCGGGAACATTTATTGGGAATTTTTATCGCGTTGCCGTAATACGGAAATTTCAAGGAATTTCGTCATAGCAAATTAAATTTTTTTATAAATTTCAGTCCAATTATATGTGTACGTCCACGTGAAAAGGGCCCATTTTATCGCATCTAATTTCCGAGATATTCACGTTTTTATCTCCACTCCATTTATCCTATTATTAAATTGATTTTTTGATCTTCTATACGGACGTCACACGGAGAAAAATAAATCGGTAAAAGTCTTGCGATCGCAAGGAGTTTCCCGAAGATCCCCATTTTTCATGCACGAAGAACAATGAAGCTTTTTGGAATCTTCGGGAAATTCTATTCTATCCTACTCAAGTAGGAGCGGAGGAATGAATTTTCAAAAGCGCGGAGAAACCCTGAACGGCTTTCCGACGTCGAGTGAGCCCAGAGGGGCTCCCCCGATTGGAAAAGTCATTTCTCCCCTCCTAATTACGATGAAAAAATGAAAGCAATATCGATCGGTGGAGAATTATGTTCTAAATAAATGACAGCGGTTTCATTGCTTAATTTCTATTAGGAGAGGAGGAATGAATTTTAAAATCGTGCAGTAACTCCGGACAAGTTCTTCTCATTCAAAAATTAATTTCTCCCCTCCCTAATTGAGATGAAGAAATGAAACCAAAGCCTACCGATCGACCATTGTATTTTTAATAAATGACATCGGTTTCATTTCTTAATCTTCGTTAGGAGCGGAGGAATGAATTTTCAAAAGCGCGGAGAAACCCCGAACGGCTCTCCGACGTCGAGTGAGCTCGGAGGGACTCCCCCGATTGGAAAATTCATTTCTCCCACCCTAATTGAGATGAAGGATTGAAGCCGATGCCGATCGATCGAGAATTAAATTCTCAATAAATGACAACGATTTCATTCCTTAATCTCAAGTAGGAGCGGAGGAATGAATTTTCGAATGCGCGGAGAAATCCCGAATGGCTCTCCGGCGTCGAGTGAGTCCGGAGGGGTTCCCCTGATTGGAAGATTCATTTCTCCCCCCCCCCCAAATTGCGGAGAGGGAACGGAAGCAACATCTATCGATCGAGAATAATATTCTCAATAAATGACAGTGGTTTCATTTCTTAATCTCTATTAGGAGAGGAGGAATGAATTTTCAAAGCGCGCAGTAACTCCGAACAAGTTCTTCTCATTCAAAAATTAATTTCTCCCCTCCCTAATTGAGATGAAGTAATGAAACCAAAGCTTACCGATTGAGAATTATATTTTTAATAAATGACATCGGTGTCATTTCTTAATCTCAGTTAGGAACGGAGGAATGAATGTTCAAAAGCGCGGAGAAACCCCGAACGGCTTTCCGACGTCGAGTGAGCCCGGAGGGGCTTTCCCGATTAGAAAATTCATTTCTCCCCCCCTAATGAAGATGAAAAAATGAAACCGATGCCGATCGATAGAGAATTAAATTCTCAATAAATGACGGCGGTTTCATTCCTTAATCTCAAGTAGGAGCGGAGGAATGAATTTTCAAATGCGCGGAGAAACCCCGAACGGATCTCCGACTAGTCCAATGAACGTCGGTCTAACATACGAATGTTTGCGATACAGGCTCCATTTTTTATGGAATTTGTGATTTGGGCGTATGAAACTAATGGCGGATATTTAAGGTTCCCCAAGTTTGTGCGGGGGTTGAAAAAGCCAAAAAACTACCCCTGAAAACAGTTTTTTCGAAATAACTCGTGAATAACGCGCTGTGCGTCCAAAAACGTATTACACAAAGTTGTAGAGATCAAAATTCTACACAAAAAATGTTGAGGGCACTTTACCCCTATTCGCAACCGTTCATCCCCCAGAGCCGCGTGAAGATCAGATGGGAAAAAAAAATGTTTTCCATTAAAAAAATTGAAGTTGATGAATTTTTTTTTTTTTGTAATTCGGAATATCAGTGTTTTTTTTTTCAATAGCTTGTTTATTTATTCAGAGCGAATTTAATATATGTTGCTATTTTTATATCTTGACATTGAAACGATGAAT